GACGGTGGCTATTGGTAAGGAATTGTGCTTGTGTACCAGTTTTGTATAAAGTAGCGGTCAAAAGTGTTTGCCGAATCAATTTTTAGTGCATTATTTTTTTCCGTTAGAGCAGCACCCTACACAGATTGATGTACTATGTTCTCCAGTGTTTTACATCCTCATGTCTTGAAAAATCAGGATATTCAAATGAAAAAACTTTCGAGATCACCACTGATTTTTTCTTCGGCTTCCATAGAAGAGACGAGATATTATTACGAATTCCTGTTTGTTTCAGTTTGAAACTGATTCAAGATGATTTATTTCCAGTTAATTAACGAAAATATGACAAAGGGATGAAAGTGAATTCACGAAAGTTGTCTCATAGCTCTTTTTTGTTACGAAGGGCCTTGCAGTCGAAGTAAACCGATCAGCAGATAAAAAAGTCCTTTGTACGTAGTCGGGACCTGTGAACGTGGCGCAGGTCTCTGACGGTGAATATTGGTAAGGAATTGTGCTTGTGTACCAGTTTTGTATAAAGTAGCGGTCAAAAGTGTTCGCCGAAACGGTTTTTCGTGCTTCTCTTTTTTTGCCAGAAAAAAATCAATGGTGCCTCGAAAATTTTTTCTTTTGAATATCCTGATTCTTTAAGACTTGAGGATATAAAAACACTAGAAAACATAGTATATCAATCTTTGGAGGGCGTTGCTCAAGCGAGAAAAAATAATGCACTAAAAATCGTTTCGGCAAACACTTTTGACCGCTATTGCACCTCTTGTCGTTCTACGACAGCCTTGTGAGAGTATTCCATGAGACATCGCGTAGAGAAAGCCAAACGATGTAGTTTGGTAATCCAATTGCGGATCGTCCAATTTTCCCTCCCAATGCGACGAAAAACAAATGGTAATGCACGTCCTTCCTAATGCTTACCATTTGGTTCACATATTTACGAAATGAAATCTGTTCTAAAACCGGGCTATGGCACACACTCAAACTAAATTAGGTCTAACGTTACGTTGTGAAACACTTTCGAACTGGCCGACACACCCTCGATCGAGGTGGGTTCCGATCAGTTCCCTTCCCGTGATCGGTATCGTTGATGGAGCTGGTTTATCTTGGTTCCTTTTGAAACTCTGCCTCAAATCCGGTAGTGCCTCTAATCAAATCCGATAGTGATCGTATCCGATATCTCGAACTGGCGAGTGAGGACACATATATTTGCTGAAACGGCAAGGCATTCGAGATAACACTCAAATGCGAAAAGGAAATTCCAGTTCTTGAAAAAACTTCACATTTTTTTTCTAAAAAATAGGGCTACGCTCCCTGAAACCATAAATGCGACTCCCGTTTGGAGAAATCCGAATGGGAACCGAGCAGGCAACGAACTCGCATTGGTCATCGAATAAACTGTTGTTAAAAAGGATAAATGAAATGAATTTGACGACCGGTCTCGCCATATAATACCACGTCGACCTGTTCAGTACTGCGATGACATTTGAATGCGTGGTATGGTTTTAAAATCGGATTTGAAGCAACCAGTATTGGAGAGGTGCAGCCTGTGTGAGGCGGGGTATGGTCGGTCTGGTTTGCCACTTGCCACTACTCCATCTTTATCTTTAAAAGCATTATACTCTGGACTTGAATAATTTTTGAAGGAATGTCTTTATTTCAGAACTAGTTGATGAGTCTAAAGTAGAGGAGAAGACAACGGTAGTCGGAAACGGGCTCGAATATGCTTACGAGCTTCCCAAAGAAGGCGAAATTGAGATAGAGGTGCGTTGTTAAAAAAATGGTTTGGATTTGTTGAGAAAATTGCCTCAAGGATGTAGTATTATTGTAAATTCGAAAAACAATTTAGCAGTAGTCAAATTTAATAGTCTTGATTAAGCCGGCGTCAGAGGAGCCATCAGAAACGTCAAAACAGGATTTAGCCGCTCTTATGTCTCAGTTGAAAGGCCTATAGGTGATCAGCTTCTGCTCTTTTGAACAGTTTATCTATCGCTTGGAAGTACAGTATTAACTCATAGTCAGTATAGCACGCATTTCCATTCTGTTCTATCCTTTCATCTTCCATTGTGATATTTTTGTTGATTTTATGGTGTTTTCGGGAAAAAGATTTTATTTATTTATTTATTGCAAATAAAGAACATGGTGAAATTTGTGGACCCGTGCAAAGCTGATTCAGTCGTCAATACATATATACACAGTAACCGTAAATAAACAGAAATCAGTAAGTTTCGCAAAGTTACAGGTATTTATGGGAGACAGTATAGCGTGACCGGGTCAGTACTATAGAATAGAATTGCTATCAACACCCTAAAGTTGATCCGTAAAATTTTAATCCACCGATGACAGCGTGAACGCCGGCTGACCACACTTTCACGCAGGCGAGCCAACTTATTTGACGTTTTTTTCTCGTCATGCAAAGTAGTCGGTATTCATTATCAAGACCGTAAACAAGGTGTTCTTTACGAATTATGGAATTTTTGGAAGGTAGAGATTACTTGAACAAAATATGGAAAAGGGGCGGTGGTTGTCATTGGGTTAACGGTCTACTATTGCCCACTCATGAATCTAACACAATACGACTTTTTCTTCAGCAGCGAGGACGAGCGCGATTTTGCAAGTGTGGTCGCCTCGGTCCAAATTTCTTTTAGCTATTCTATTTTTCCAAACAAAATATGGACTAATCTTATGACCAGGTCTATCACGGTTGATTTGGAGATAATCTGCAGAATAGGTACAAAAGAATTCGTGAAAAAAATGCGCATGCCCAACAAAAGTGACATGAGCGTGACCGTCGTTGATATGTTAGTCAAAGTCTTCTTCTATTGATTTGGAGATACCGTTCTTCGAAACCACTATGCAACAACACAAAGCGCGAAACGAGAAACGTTGGGTAACGGCCACCCGCCGCGACTCAATGACTTAGCGGCGCTATGCGCAGTTACTGCAAAGCGAGCACACGAGAAGCCCATACTCCAACAGCTAGCATACTAGAAATGAACGACAACGGCAGACGCTTACAACTACTGCCCATCTTCTACAATGAAAGTATCACATTAAGCAACTAATGAGGGCAGAATTGTGGGCACCGCAATTGGCCATGCCAGTATCGCGTTGAGAAAGGCGTTTTCCTGCTGTCCATCAGACTTCACACCCATCCAGGAAAACGCTATCGGAACATCGTTCAAAGGTCGTACTTCGACGGTGGACCAAGTCTAATTTCTTGTGACTCAGCTGCCATACAGAGATATTCGCCAAGTAACGTGCATATTACAACACTGGCTATTTGCACACCCCACCACAGCAGTTGGGTAGGGAAGGCAAAATTGTAGATGATAACAATCAGAAGATGGAATACGTGCAGGGTGCATGAGAAATCCAGGCACTGCTTGGCACGTTGGACCACAAATCTCATCGCGACTCCACACGAAAGAGTCGCCAGCAATTGCACGACCACCATCACACGAAGAGCCTAAAAGCCAATTACTTTAGAGGAAAGGGATAGAAACTGTAGTTCTAAAATAAGACAGAAGCATTAAGATCAACTAAAGGCATTTGCAACCGATTTGGGATAACAGGGACTATTTGAACTCGATCCACGATCCTCGCAAATGCCTTCGCAGCCAATCACGCGATCTCCACGGCTGGCAAGAGGGGCTTACGATCGGTGGCCGACACGCCCACTTCGAAGGCCGTTCAACTCCCTTTCGCGGCTTTCCAAGGTGAGTTTTTTGTTCAGTCACACTTCTTATGTTCTTGACTAGGGCTAGCGCATCGTTCCACACCATTAGTGTCGAAGGTAAGAACCCTGCTGGGACTGTTGCTTTAAGAAACGCATTCAAGCGCTTCAACACCTCTCATGAGAGCAATTCAAGGAAAATAATAAATAAAGGACGGTCGAAAACACCAAACCTCACTTGTAGGGAATAAATGTGAGCCAATGTAGGAGTGAAGCCAGTTATACTGTATGCGACCATTGCGACACATTCTGTTGTGTAGAAAACCGTTTGCATGCATACCATCTGACTAATAAGCAGCACCGGATCCCATACGTAAGATCGGAAGGAGCTCATTTTGCTGAAAGAAAATAAAACCAGCTGTAGAAAATTTGAATACTGATTAGCTGATCGCCATAGCGATAGAGTACAGCAAATCTGCAGTGTTACTTTACGAGTCACTGGAAGCATTATGCACCCTGCCGCCTCCCCTACCCACTTTCCAAAAAAAACTACTCCATGAATCCGCTAGCAGTTCGTGCACTAATCATCTGATTCTTGCCTTCTTTCGGAAATTCCTCGATGTCACTCAGTTTTCTACTCTCCTTGACCAAAGTCGCCATATTCAGTTTCCGATATGGATATTTTGAATACACGAACTCACAAAGTCTATCACCGTTCTAAAGACTGTAACACAGCGATGGATGTCCAATCGTAATCACCAAACTATCGCAGAACATTAAATAGATACCAGCGTTTAACATCGGACTTGTAGAACGACCGGACGATCTACGTTACTAGGGGAGCTTTCACAGTTGGTTGCCCGATCGTAACGACCA